GTTGGAGGATGAGGAATTATAAAAGGCAGCCTTCGTCTGTCCTCTATTCATCTCACGACGACTAAGTAAGCTCTTCCCAATCACCATCAGGATACCTTATTTTCCAATACGGTTATCTAAAGTCGTATACCACTCCTGTTTGTTCATTGACTTGCCATCCTCCATCAGTGAATGACCGTCTCACCTCGGTACCTACCGGGAAGTCCTTCAATGCGTGCTCACGAGACATTGCATCTCGATCTTCCTTGTTTGGATATTCCGGAGGTCGAGGACGAACTTTGTCTTCATGGTACACTTCCCAAAGCGCATGAAATACATCAAGCTGAAGGGGAGTAAAGCTGTTACTTGCTTCCTCTTCTTCCATCCAGTTCGACTCATGACCATCTTGATATCGGCCACGATATTCCCAATACCAAATGCGGTCATTATTCCATGCTATCCTCCGGTCGAGTAGTGTAAATAGTGGGCAAGCCGCCACCGAAACTTCGGTCAAGCCCAGATCTGCATACGGAAGTTCCTTGCGATGAAGAATTCGTTGGGGGTGACCCTAGTGATTGAGGCACCGATTCCGCACGAGGTTGAGAATATGACACACTTCCCCCCGGATTGTGTCATCAAAGATTCCATAGCTAACTTGATTTTGTCCTTATCACTTTCCAAGTTGTATATAACCATCTCCGGGTGGACTTCTTGTAACAGTTGAGTGCACTTTGGGTCTCCCAAAGACGTCCTTACCAACCGTAAATCTCCATCTTCCGTATTGAATCTAGCACACTCCAGACCTCTCCAATCCGCTTCAATAGCAACCTTGACATCTAAAATGCCCTCTGCGGCTAGTAGGTTGCCTCCCCCCCCGCAGCAGAGCACCATGATTGCAGAAGGTTGATATTCGACGGAATTTGGAGTCATCATTAGTGACCCATTCTGTGACTGAGAGTCTATCACTTCTTCATCTAGCAAGGCTGCGGTGACTACTGCGCCGATCAATGATTCATCATTTGCTGAGCCATCTTGATAAGAAACGTCTTTAACTCCTAGATCACTGAGTAAAATGCCATCCAAAACTGGACCTTTCGGACCTCTGAATGAAAGTTTAGTCGACAAATCATCAGGGAAATCGGCAGTAATATCCTTACCCGGCATATCAAAACGTGGTAGTGTCGACATGGCATCTGGTAAATGGTGACTGCGACCTTCCTTCCACTGAAGATTCATATCATTTTCCATCAAGCGGAGAACCCAACGTTAAAGTTTAGGCGATAGATGTTGGCTTTTGAATAACCAGGTCAACGCTGAACAATCTGTACCCAAGGTGAATCTTCCACCATATAAATAATGTCGAAAATGTTCCACTGCCCTCGGAGATGAGTTGGTATCCACTGAAGATATCCATTGTTAGATGGAACATAAGGAGGTGCATGCGGTGACAGCTGCATCACTTGAGGGTTCGATAGTTGCGAAGGCGAAATGTTGGGCATATCCTGTCTGTTAGTTGCTGCTGATGATGACATCACTTGTGAACCCGGGTAGATTAGACCACTGCGAAATCTGAGGTCCGACCGCTCCTTGTGTCTGCGTGAAATTAGCGGATGATGGAACACCAATAGATGTGACAAGCATTGATGCTGTTGATAAGGCTGCATCGACTGAGACATGTGTGACGGCTGATGCTGTTGCGTCCAGTGCGCCTGCTGCTGTGGTTGCCGCGGTTGCATTTGCCACTGCAAATTATTAGCTTGTTGTCCCTGCTGCATCGATTGCTGTTGAGGCTGTTGCGACATTTGTTGATGGTAGTGAGGCGCCTCCACCATCTGTTGTTGAGACCACTGTGGCCGTTGGAGTTGTTGCGACCACTGTGGCTGTTGGAGCTGTTGATAGTCCTGTGACTGTAACTGGTACGACTCTTGCGGTTGTTGTTGTTGCTGTTGCTGCTGACCCTGTGGATACTGCTGTTCCTGCTGCCTCGATTGTTGTTGCGGAGGCAAAGAGTGCAACGGCGTAGGGACCGACACTGATTGGTACGAATCATCATGTGTCGGAACACCTGAATTTTGTAAGGGAACTGACGGGGCCCTCGGGGGCGGAGGAGGGGGCGGTAGAAGCCCATCAGCACTCACATTGTTGGTGACCGCTGGCGGTAGCGGAGTCACCTGAATGGCGGTGGCAGGTCCACCCATGTTAATCTGACCCATTGATGGGTCGACTGGTGGTGTAGCGTCGGCTGACGAACCACCACCCGGATCGTGATTGGCTTGAAAAGACGACATCTCAAATAATAAATCGTGATCCTTGGATCTCCTGGAGGAGGAGATAACAAAAATTAACCCTGTTTACAATCTTTCCGGTATGACGACCACCGGCGCACCCCAAGGAGATTCCTCTGGCATGTCTTGCTGGTCCGATAAAACTTCACCGGCATGTTATTGAAATTGTCGGCATCAAGAGTATCATCGTCATGGCCCGGCTCAAGTGCTGGATCTTCGGGAGTAACGGTAGTGTCTTGAAGTTGTTGTTGGTGAAGCCGGAGTTCAAGATCGAGCAAGCTGGGGCCGTCTTGAGACGGCATCGCGGTCGTACAACTTAATATTTTCAATAAACAAGGATAATGTACGTATGGCGCAAAGATTATTAAGAACGGATTAGTTGCCCTTACCCGTCTGATGACGACATCATCCTCACTGAATACAACTCATAATAAATAATCCGTAAATGACCTAGTCGTATTAACCGTTATCACCCGTGCGCCTTCGGATAATGCTCATAAAACATAGTCTTATCTGTATCTTGTTGTCTTGTCCGATCTTTAACCCAAAACAACGCATCCCGTTCCTGAGACTACTCCACCGTGTAACCACTGAAAAAGTCACGACGTACTAAGTGATCACCCCAATGTCTTCCCATCTCTATGTCCTGTGACTGTGACCGACCCTGTATTATTCGTATCTAGATCCGATCTGAACGCGAATTAGCAGGAGCGTCATTTTGCCGTGAGAGAGTGCTGGTCCGGCTCCGATCAACCGTTGTATCAAAGTTAGACTATGTAAATGAATAGATCCACTAAAATTTTTCTGACGCACACAGATTTTTGTTTGTCTCATCTCTTCTAGCCCTGTCTATCTCTGTTATTACAGCAACCACAGCGATAGTAATGGTTTATGGAACCCCCGGCCTCCCTTTCGAAAGAGGTAAGCGTCCACGATGCCTTTGTATGGCTATGTCGCTCACAGTTGTATCTACACATCCGGTGATGATTGATTATTGATCCTACCAGTGAAACTGTATGTGTACACAGATTTTTTCAAAGAT